CCCCAAAACCCCAAAACCCCATTAAATGGAATTTAAACTAATTGAATTGAGATGTTTAAATAAATCAACCTTTGCCTTCTTATAATAAAAATACAAAGGTGAGAATATAGGTTGCTCCCAGTTGTGATTATATTCATTATCACGGCTCCTTAAATCTCATTCATTGAGCTCGACTGGCTTCTCAAATCTTTCCAAGAAGTACTTCTTTCTTCTTTCTCTGTCTTGCTCAATAAGCTTTGGATCGAAGTCAGCTCCAATACCATCGATAGCTCTCTGATCGTCTCTCCATTTTGAAACATTAGCATTATTTATTGGTAGTTGCATTGGCTTAGAATGCTTTTCTTAGTAGAGTTCTAACTCATCTGGAAGAGGGGCTCTAGCTGCTGCTTGAATCTTCTCAATTTGATCTCTGTCAAAGGCGTCATCATCCAAGATCTACCATTTCTTTGGTGTTCCTTTTAGCATGTTCATTTTCTTCTCTGTGATTCTCTTCTTTCCTACCATTTCTTCAATGAAGTACTCCATCTCAACTATCATTTCTTTATATAATGGATCATTTTCGAAACCTGAGAATTCTCTTTCTCTGTATTGAACTTAGAGTGGGTGATAATCTTGGTCTAAATCATTGATGTAGCCGGAGTAATCCTCGCAAAGTTGCTCGTAATCCTTTGCTCCATTACTGAGTGCTTACCAAATCTCATTCCTTTGTTCTTCAATTGATTTACCAACTTGATCAAAGAGTGGAGCGACTCCATGAGTTGAAGCCTGCTGTTCTCTCAAAGCCATTCTGTCAGTTTCCTAAGTTGGATCGAACTAAGGAAAGTCAGAGATAAAGTGAGAGTATGCTATATCATCAGACATCTTTTTCTCCTTTTTCTAGATATTATATGGACTCTCTCTGTAAGGAGTTTTCCAATGTTTTTTGTAGAGATTGGGATGATCTACTTCCTCATGTGCGCAAGAACCTGGAGCTGGATATCTGTACTTGAGTTCAGGGGGTGGCTTATAGTAATTGTAACCCTTCAAGCTGATCCCTTACTTGAAGGCTTGCCAAAAGTTTAGACGAGTTGAATTTAGTTTACCTATCACTTTATCCATGATTAAGAACCTTTTAATTTTATATTATAATTATTAATTTATAATTGCTTAAGTTCAAAATTTAAACAAAATGACTTAAATTGTTTCATCAAGCACAGTAACTTTATCTTAATTCTTAATAAATAATTAGCAAACTTTGATTCATGACATTTCTCTTGTGAAATTATAGCCACAACAGCCTTTAGCGAAGGTGATAATAAATAATCACTTGCATGGATGCAAGATCAACTGTGCCACTTGGAGTTATAAAAGTAAACGACATTTCGCGATAAATCTTCCTTGCTTAAAATTCTTGAATTTAGATTAACTTGTTGCAACTGGTGGTGATGATGGTCAAATAATGATGACTGTGGCAGCTACTGGCGAGAAAATAGAACAGCTTTCCGCTTATGTATCAAAAGTATACATATTCATTGGCATTTTTATGAGTTTAGAATGTCCCAGTAACATCGTTATGTTTTAGTTCAACAAATGAATTCTTAGCTGCAGGACTGGGAGATGGCTATGTTAAGGTTTGGCAATTGAAGAAAAAAGAAGCCAGAGCTTATAAACCAACCAACTTCTAAATTAAGTAGCAGGTTACTTGTGTCGGCTACAACTCAACTTTTGATTTGATTGGTGCTTCGACAAATTAAGGTTATATTAACGTATTCGCAAACAATAAAAATCAAACTACCAATACAACGACTGCGCAAAATGAAATAAGCTTCTTTAAATCAAGCGATGCTTACATCAATCAGTTTAAATTCTCCCCTCTAATGGAGTCAATATTTGCTACTGCGTAGGAAGATGGAATTATTTCTCTTTATGATATAAATAATGGAAACAATCCAACTACATAGTTCACTACTCATAAAACTGGAGTCAGGGGCATTGCATTTTCTCCACTTAATAAATTACTACTTTCATCAGTTTCTTTAGATAAGTAGATTATTTTCTATGATATAACAAAAAATAAAAAGGTAAGTGCTATAGTAACTCCAGAACCCTTGCAATGCATTAGTTTTAACTCTGATGGGCATACAGTAGCAGTTGGAGCTATCAACAGTGGAAATATACATGTATATGATTTAAGGAATCAGAGTTAGGTATTAGTAACTCTTTAAGGTCATTCATCGACAGTGAATTCAGTATCATTTAGATGGGCTGAAAACTAAAAGCCAGTTGTCGCTAGTTAAAAAGGCGAAGTTATAGTAAATATTTCAACCGGCTAAGGTTCAACAACTAGTAGCAATCATCCCAAGAGTAATATAGTTAGTCCGAAATAAGGCAATAATAATATGATTGATAAGCCAATAATGAATTCTAGCAGTACTACAACATAGTTCAAGACAATGGACTAGATTAGGGAAGAGGCTAAGAAAAATGTTGAGCTTAAAAAATAACAAAAAGAGTAGTAGAGACTGATAATGTAAAAATAATTAGAAAACGATACTTAAATGACAGAAATGTCAGAAAGGGATATAAGAGAGAGACAGATAGAAGAGTCTAAAATAGAAAAAGCTTAGATAATTTCCTAAATAAGTCTTTTTGATAGATAAAGGGACAAAAGCAGTGACGTACCAAAATCAAACGTTAACCAATTGATAACTGAGTAGGCAGTTGGTAGATTAAAGATGGAAGTTAATAAAAGCCCAACAGCCTAGTAAAATGCAACCTTAATTAATCAACTTAAGTAAAATATTCCCTCTTATTAACCTAAGCTGGGGATGAATATTTAAGTTGAAGATGTTGAAATGAAAGAAGAGTTTAATCTGAGGATAAAGGATAGATAAGAGAGCAAAAAAGAAGAAAATGAAGACTTTCAAAAGGAAATGCAACTTTAAGATAAATAAAAAACAGAAATAGATTAGATTATACAGAGCAAGTTTGATTAGCTGAGATATGAAGTCAATGGCATGCTTAATAATTTCCAAATTGAAATCATTAGACAATTTGAACTACAAAGGGTAAATTATTTTCAAGTAATTTCATTATAGAATTAAGTAGATGCTGTTGTATCTGAATACTTTATAGATAATGACGGAGATGAAAGTGAAGAGGATGAGGTATTTGCCTTAGAGTTGGAAAGAAAATATCTAAGATAAGATGATGATGAAGATGACGAGGAATTCAGTAATCAATATCTTCAATGAGAACATGTGAATAGTATGGCTCTAATGATTTGATCATTTAGACTGTAGCAAATATAAATAGATATAGCCTTATATACTTTTTAATTTATATCTTAAGATTTATATTAGACTAATGACATTATTTCTAATTTATTAAACGTTCAGACAACAAGTATTATTCACTACTTTTCTAAGTTGAATCTCAATGGAGATTGTTTTAATGAAGCATTGTCTAATTATATCAAATTCTCACTTTGATTACTTTCTTAATTTATATGTAGCTCTAAACTTTGAATAAGTTCTTTGCATGAATTAAACACTAGTCTTAACTTATTGACTGATTATTCTTCAAACTCCTCATTTTTAAATCGATAAGTTTCTTCCATAAATTTATTCAATAGCTATTTTATGCTTATATTTTCAGTAAGCAGCTATTCATTTTATTAACTCAAATCCATTATTTAACCATTCAAAGTTTCTATTTTAGCCACATGATCAGAATTTAATTGACTATCAGGCTAAGCATCTGAATTAAGTTAAACTTAGCTAGAAAGAAACTCTTCCACTTATTTTACGTTTGCTGTGTCAGTATTAATTTCTAATAAATCAGCCTCCTCCTGCTTAGGTATTTCTTCATTTATTGTTTCTTAGCTTAATTATGCCTTATAAAAATTGTACTACTCATTATAATAATCAGGATCTATCTTGAGATCTTTGGCGCTTAAATTTGAGATAAATTCTATTGTAGAGGATAGTGTAGTCAAGTAGTAATCATCTTGACCTTAAAGTCTGTTAGAATGCCTGAATAATCTTATGTATTCCATATTAGAGAATAATTAAATTGCTGCATCCTCTGGTAGCTAAAGTAAGCTGTAATTTACCATTGGTAAAAATGTATCAGCTCCATCTGGCATACCATCTTTTGCTGATTCAGCTAACATTTTTGAAATTTCATGACAAAAGTTAATGGCAAAATTAAGCTTTCCTCTTGGAAGCTTATTACTCCCCATCGCTTATAGATTTAAACATGCTCTTTAAAGCCTTTCTGCAATGATTCTATTTTCTTAGATTTCAAGGTGCTCAGGTTTCAAAAATTTCTAATGAATATTGATACTCTCACAAACTTATTTATTGGTATCATGTTCTTCTGGAGTGTTAAAAATTCTTTCATAAAAATTCTTAGTGACTATAGCTTCAATTCCTTCACCATTGAGCTCTATTTCATTCTCATCAGTTTCTTAAAATATATCTTGGAATTTTGCTTCCATTAATGTCATTAAGTTTTATAAGGCTTATCCTTATTCTTCTCTGGTTTAACATTCTGCAATATTATTTTTCTTGAAATATCTATATTAAGATATGTTATAGTATAAAACAGTGGTTTAACTTAATATTTGGGGTATTGTTAATGAACTTACGACTCAAGTATTTTCCTTACAGGAAGACTCTTATCATCTTTAATTTTCTGGTAGAAGTTATGCAAAGTTGATTTTTAATTAGGCTTTGGCCCTTTAGGTGGAGAATTATCTGTCATTTTTAATTATAATTTGGCTAATTATTAATTAAATAAACTAATCATGGATAATCAATAAATGACTGAGTAAATTGAGGGCGGGGTTGCTTCAAGGCAAACTAGAATTACTTATGATTCAGTTAGAAATGGCACATTTGATGAGAGGATTAATAAATCAGATGTATCAACATTTTATGATCAGGATACTATTAGCAATATTAGATAGACAAAGACAAATTATGTCAAAGATGGAAGATAATATTTTAGCTAGAGTCAAAAAGATAGCTTATCACCTCAAACAATATGATAAAAGCTTTTAGAATAGGAATCAGATAGAAAGTCTATTTTAGAGGAATTCCAAGAACAATAATTTGAGATTATTGAGGCTGAGCTTGAAAAGAATAATTTCATGAAAAATAGTAAAGTTAGATCTTACAGCTACTTTGTTTTGCTCATAATTTTCCTCATTTACACAGGTAACTAATGGCAGTGATATAGTAAGTTTTGAATTTTTCATGAAATTAGCTATTAGTTTTGTGAATTCTTATGATAGTACTCTTCATTATGATGACCCCAAATATTTTATCAAGGATGCAATCCCCTCTTACACAAAATTTTATGGTCTATTAGTCGGTCCTGCCTTTACTGTACCTTATGCTGTACCACTTTTGTTCACAGTAATTTATAGTTTTAAAAATTTATATAACAAATTAGGGACTTCTTACTGACTAAATGAGTAGAAAATTTTTACTAGGTTCAGTTTGCATTTTTTGGAGTTTAAGTACTATGTTGAGTGGATTTGCTAATCAAATATGGCTTTTGTTTGTTTCAAGAATATTCCTAGGGTTCTTTCAGAGTGCCTGTGGAGCTCCTTCTTATAGTCTTATTGCAGATTATTTTCCACCTGAGAGGAGAACATTTGCAAATTCTGTATACTCACTAGGAATATATATAGGACAATCATTATCATCCCTAACTATTTTACTAATAAATGGAGTCGGGTAATTAAACTGCTAATTATATTCATTTAAATAGATGGAGAGGAAGTTTTATTGTGATAGGAGGAGTTGGCTTTGTATTTGGAATTATTGGATTAAGTTTTATTAAAGAACCAAAAAGAGGGAGATTTGATGTTAATGTTGGAGATAAGCCCAAACAAACTGGAAAAGGTTTAGTTTAAAAATATTTGATAGCTTTTACTGAAATTTTCAAGAATAAATGTTCAAGATGGATCATTATTGCAGGATGTTTGAGATTTTGGGCAGGAAATGCTGTGGCATATTTTACAGGAAAATACTTTGATATCTTCAAGGATCATAATGTAATAGATATAAATCGTAAATTTTTAGAATGATTTTTCATATTTAAACGCTCTAGCATTGCTCTTAGGAGGAATAATTTCAAATTTAATAACTGGTTATCTTTCTGATAAATACGATGACAAAAATTCAATGGCTAAAACATATCTTTGCATGTACGTATTCTTTAATATTTGAAAATATATTAGATTTGGAACTTTGATGGCAATTCCTACCACTTTAGGTGTTTTCTTGATTACTAGTAATTTTTATGTTGCTATGAGCTTTTTATTTTTGAAGTATTCTCTGAGTGAAGGTTGGATCTCCCCATCAATTTCAATGATATAAACTGTAATTGATTCATCTGTAAAAGGGGTAGCAATATCAGTATTTCTGTTCACAACTACTATAAGTGGGACAATAGCGACAGTAGTTATTGATCAATTAATAGATGCTTTTGATGCATACAATCACTTGGAAAGACTAGGATACATAATGGTTGCAAATTGTTGCATTCCCTACATTACTGCTATTCCATGTTTCTATATTGCAGGTAAAAATTATGAGGAGTTCAAAAAGTGTCTCCATTACTGCAAGTCAACAACTCTTGAAAGAATAAAATTAGAGGAGTTCAAGAATTATTAGGTGATAAATAGAGAAAATTAAAAAGTTATGGTAAAGAGATCAAGAATAGGAAAAGATGAATTATATAAGGTGCCTGAATAAGCAGAATATGAAAGTAATTTATTGATTGAGGATTAGCAAGAATAAAGCTGAACCATTAATTTTGATTGTTTTATTTGATTATTAACTTCAAATAAGCTGTATTATTTTTATATAAAGTTCTTACGGGGTTTTGGGGTTTTGGGGTTTTGGGGTTTTGGGG